AAAATATTCGTGACTTTAAAAAAATATTCGTGAGTTTAAAAAAAGTTCGCGAACGATGAATTTGGAAAAAATATTCACGACTTTAAAAAAATGTTCGCGAACGATGAATTTGGGAAAAATATTCGCGAGTTTAAAAAAAGTTTGCGAACGATGAATTTGGAAAAAATATTCATGACTTTAAAAAAATGTTCGCGAACGATGAATTTGGAAAAAATATTCGTGACTTTAATAAAATGTTCGCGAACGATGAATTCGGAAAAAATATTTGCGACTTTAATAAAAAGTTCACTAACATTTTTTAAAGTCAGGAATTTTTGTGGTTCACGAACATTTTTTTCCATACCCATGAACAATATTTGTGGTTCGCGAACATATTTTCAAATTTATTGTTTGTGAACTTTTTTAAAGTCGCGAATATTTTTCCTGTATTCCCGAACATTTTTTTGAATTAATGAACATTTTTACTATTCACGCACCAGGGGTATCTTTGATGCCAAAGATTTTCAGATTTTTTTGTTCATATTTTTTTATTTTTTGCACTGTTCACCATGCCAGCTGGCCATTTAGAGGGGGTTAGTGAGATTTTGGACCTGGATGACACACTTACTGTACTTCGAGAACCTAAATGACGATTTTCATAGTTCGAAAACCTATGTGACACCCCTGAAATAGTTTAAGGACCTACAGTGCACTTCACTCTAAAATTAACGAGTTGTACTAACTCGGTGGAGATAGCAAATTATCTTGTATATGTTTATCTCCGAAGTGAAATATTGTGTTTTTTAAGCACTCGCCGTAGAACAATTGTTCTATGATAAATTTTCATGTATCAAAGAAAAGCATAGCAGATGTAAACAAGTCAAAAAGAAAAAAGGAAACAAAAGAAGCAAAAGAAAAGGAGCCGGAGCTCAGCTTTGAGTCAATTCATGTTTTAGGCAACATAATCATCAAAGATATAAACCAACTAGACTTGAAGGTGACTTCCGATCCAGCTGTGCACAATTGGGTTGTACTTGTCAAACATTCTGTGGCTCATGATCTGTGTTGAGTATCGTGATTAGATTGAAAACATATGATAGACTAGGAAGTATTCTGACTTGTATTGTACTCCAACTAGATGATGTATTCCTATACATATGACCACGAGAGGCTCAAGTAATAAAAATCAATTTCATCAATCTCTCTTTGTTCCTTCTAACATGGTATCAGTCTAACCGATTCAAACCCTAGCCACCGCCCACCGCTTCCGCACCGCGTCGCCCCCGAGGCCAATCTATAGGTCTTTCTTGAACAATTTTTTTCTAGAAAAGCAAACTTGGTTTGATGTTATGAAAATTCAAATTGTTCCTTTGCATCCAAATGCTCCAGCTGCCCATTACCAAGATATCCATTGAAATTTTAGAGGGAAGTGGAGAGAAAGCCAACACGGTGCCATACTCTATCCCTTGCTAAATATAAGTATTTTGAGAGATTCTAATATGAACTACACATGGATGTATATAGACATATTTTAAAGTGTCGATTCATCCATTTTGCTTTGTGTGTATTTCATGTTGAAATCTCAAGACTTATATTTAGGAGCGGAGGGAGCTAATAACTGAGGTGATTCTTCTTCTCGTAAGTATGATTGAATTCCAACAACACAGAGCAAAACCACAGTCCCAAAAAAATGCAAGACAGTCTCTTCCCATGCATGAATACACATCACACAAAAATATTATCTCCGTTCTAAAATGTATGTTGTTGCCGTCTAGCCCTAGCTCTCGCCTACCTCTCGCAGGTCTCTTGTTCTGCAACAGACCGAGGTAGAAGAAGAAGGGAAGGAGAAGACACAGGTGGACACAGGAGGTTTCCGGCGCTCGAACGCCAACACCCACGAGCACGAACTCGTTCCCAGGCACCACGCGCTACAACGCATACACGGGGGGTATTATACCCAGGTCGCACCGGGCACGAGCCCACGACCTTACCCACGTCGAGCACCTGGTCCACGCCGCTCCGCCCGCGCCCGTCCGACATGCACGCACATGCCTGGACGCGGCGGATCCGTAGCTAACCAACTCGACGCGCACCCCCAGCTCGCCAACGGCTGGCCCGAAACTTACGCACGCGGTGCACACCAGTACGGACATGCCCGTGCTGCACCTATACGCACACACACGCACGACCACGGATCCGGCGCGCCCTGGCTCGCGCCCGACGCGTCCTGCGGTGGCTTATGCCCAACACTCACCCCCCTAAGCCACGAACTCAGAGGAGACCAACGTCCTCGACGTCGCCGTCCGCCAGCAGCGCGCGCTCCGACGCGCCGTCGACGTCGTTGTCATTGTAGCCACCACCGCCCTGACATCGCTGCCACGCCTGCCACCGTGCCGCCGTGCCATTCGAGTGCCTTCCCCACGTCCCCGCGCTCCCGGTCCGCGCTCCCGCCGCGCACGTACGCTCTGATACCAAATGTTGTTGTAGAAATGGAACCACTACTCGCCGGCGATCACCGGAGACAAGGCCGGAGGGGTGGAGAACGAACACAGAGATTTTCCAGGCGCACAAACACCTCCGCCGCGCGTACGGCTTCTCTGTATTTCTTCTTGAGCTCGAACTCAAACTGGGCAACGAGTACACAGGCATGGAGGGGATCTTATACCCACGCGCACAGACACGCTGGGTCGCACACCGACACACCCACCTCCCACTCCCTCACGCTCCGGCTCGCGCACGCGACGCGCTCCAACGCGATCGCCACGGCCACTCCTAGCGCTAGACGCGGTCTCCCTGGTGACTCGCTAACAACCCACACACGCACGACCACGGATCCGGCGCGCCCTGGCTCGCGCCCGACGCGTCCTGCGGTGGCTTATGCCCAACACTCACCCCCCTAAGCCACGAACTCAGAGGAGACCAACGTCCTCGACGCCGCCGTCCGCCAGCAGCGCGCGCTCCGACACGCCGTCGACGTCGTTGTCATTGTAGCCACCACCTCCCTGACATCGCTGCCACGCCTGCCACCGTGCCGCCGTGCCATTCGAGTGCCTTCCCCACGTCCCCGCGCTCCCGGCCCGCGCTCCCGCCGCGCACGTACGCGATATGCGCACCAGGTCCAGCGCCCCGACGTGGTCCGCACCCGCGGTCCCGACGTGCCCACTACGCCTGGCGCGCGCCCATACACGCGCCCGACGCGGTGAGCCCGTCGCCGCGGCTTGTTCTGCCACGCTCCGCACGCCACCAGCCCGTGCCATGATCGCGCTCCGACGCGACCAACGCGGCCGATCCTGCGTGTCCCGGAGCTTGGCCTTCCCTCCGCCAAGCCGCGCCGCGCCACCGTAGCCTCTGCGCGACCGCGCAGGTCCGCCGCGGCCGCCGCGCTCTCCGCACGCCCGGCATCACCGTGCTCCGCCGCCGCACGGGACGAGCGCCATCGCCGGCGAGCTCCTCCAAACCCGATGCTCCGATACCAATTGTTGTTGCCGTCTAGCCCTAGCTCTCGCCTACCTCTCGCAGGTCTCTTGTTCTGCAACAGACCGAGGTAGAAGAAGAAGGGAAGGAGAAGACACAGGTGGACACAGGAGGTTTCCGGCGCTCGAACGCCAACACCCACGAGCACGAACTCGTTCCCAGGCACCACGCGCTACAACGCATACACGGGGGGTATTATACCCAGGTCGCACCGGGCACGAGCCCACGACCTTACCCACGTCGAGCACCTGGTCCACGCCGCTCCACCCGCGCCCGTCCGACATGCACGCACACGCCTGGACGCGGCGGATCCGCAGCTAACCAACTCGACGCGCACCCCCAGCTCGCCAACGGCTGGCCCGAAACTTACGCACGCGGTGCACACCAGCACGGACATGCCCGTGCTGCACCTATACGCACACACACGCACGACCACGGATCCGGCGCGCTCTGGCTCGCGCCCGACGCGTCCTGCGGTGGCTTATGCCCAACAATGTACTCGTATGACGTTTTGGTAATAGAAAGGGAGCCAGAAGAATTTCGTTTGAAGCAGGTTTCTGATATTTAACCTGTCACGAAGAAGTAACCAGAAGGAAATATCGTGTTGGTGTCAGAGCAGTCGTGTTTGCACAAAACATTGAGCTGTCCAGCTGAAAAAAGGCCTCAGAGACACACATGCACACGCCGGGTCCCGCCGGATCAAAACCACGCCGGACATAGGCCGGTATGTCGATGTGGGGCCACCGCCACGGGCAGCCACAGAAACTGGAGGCAGCGGAAAATATCTCGGCCCGGCCCGCACGCGAGGAACGAGGGAAGCATGAGGTGGCGACGGTGGTCGGCCGCTCCAGAAGCTTCAGGACGCGAGATATTTTCCCGCGCCGGGCGGGGCGCCCAAGCCCAACCTGGCTTCAAACTTCGCAATGCTTCGCCTATCGTCTCCTCCTTTCCTCTCCTCCTACCACCTCCGCGGCCACGCGGATATTTTCCTTTTCCCTCATCTAGCCCAGCGCCTTTATATACGCCGCGCGCCCCTCCTTTCCGACGCCTCGCTCGTTGTCTCTCCCGTCTCAGGTCGCCATCGAAGCACCAGTAGCAGGAACTCCTTAACGCCCCAGCGTGAGATCGCGAGATTGTTTGTAGCTTGATCGAGGCAGGGAAGACCGGAAGAGGATGATGCAGTCGCCGTCGCAGCACCAGTCCTCCTACTACGCCGTGCTCGGCGTCCACCCAGGCGCGTCCTCCGCCGAGATACGCGCCGCGTACCACCGCCTCGCCATGGTGAGTAGCAGAGTTTGAGCGGGAGCCCTTTGAATTCTCCCGGTTTGAGCGGGAGAAGCAGAGTTTGACGTTTATCTTCTGATGATGATCCGTAATGGCGCGCAGAGGTGGCACCCGGATAAGATTGCCAATGGCCGTGTGGATCCGGCGATCGCGGAGGAAGCCAAGGGAAGGTTCCAGAAGATACACGAGGCATACCAGGGTACTTGCCGTGCCGCCCAATTCTCCTCTCTCTATGTATGTTCCATATAGGTGCTTTTGTTAACGTTTGAAATGTCGGTCTCGTGCAGTGTTGTCGGATCAGAAGCGGAGGGAGCTCTATGACGCCGGGATGTACGACCCCCTCGACGACGACCAAGAAGAGGTCGAGGTAATTAATCGATGGGTTTGCTTCTCGTAATGAGCTACTCGTGCTCGTCTCGTATTGACCATGTGCGTTAATTAACTCGGAGTTCCCGGTGTTGCATTGTCAGGGCTTCCATGATTTCCTTCAGGAGATGCTCTCGCTCATGGCCACCGTTGGTAGAGAGGTACTACTGTTAATGAATTAATGTTCATCATGCATGCCACCCTTTGATTCGCTCCTTGTAGCGTGGAGAATTTAGAGTTTGAACCGAACTCAGCTACTTAATTTCAGTTTGGTATGTCTGAACTGTAAATCGGTTCTCTTATTTCCTTTTGACTGAAGACAAACTTCAGGGGAAATGATGTCACTATGGAAACAAAAAAATACGTTAGGATTCTAGAACAACTAGCAAGATGCCTGGACATTGCACGGAATATCAAGATGCATTTTTTTTATAAAATACATGTTGTTGTGATTAACCCATGCGGGAGTAATCTCATATGTAAAAACTAATGATATCTCATAGAAGAGATAGGGTGTGGGGGATTTGTGGTCTGATGCTTTCAGGTGTATTCTTTTTGAGCCCGCGTCGCCTTGCCCAGGGCGGCTCGGGCGTCCCTAGCCTAACCCTAGCGCCGCCACTCCTCTTACTCCCTCCTGCCGTCGCGCCGCCGCCGGAGGACGCCGCCGGGTGAAACCCGTGCGGTCGACGGCGGCGGCGGGGCTTCCTCTCGCGGCGGCGCCTGGATCTGGTGGGCACAGATGCAGGTTGCACGTCGGCGTGCGCTAGGACGCGGGTCCTGGCGGTCGAGGCGGAGATCCACTGCTGGATGGACGCGCGGCTGTCCCTGGTGATGGATCTTCCTCGCGATGGTGGATGCGTGCAGGTGCTGATGGGTGTGCGCTCTCCCGCTCCCGCGGCGCGCTCCGCGCCCTCGGGAGATCCCGGTGTGCGGTGGTGCTGCTGATGGCCGGGGTCGGCACGTCGCGGTGGCGCGCGCGGGCTGGCGCTGGCCGGAGGTGGGGAGCGGCGGTTGGAGGCAGGCGGCCCTGCGGTGCGGCGTGCACCGCCGCCGCCGCGCGGGTTCTCGGCTCCATGTAGAAGATCTGCCCCTGTTTCGATCTGTCCTGATCCGTGCTGGCACCGGTCCTTGGCGGCGGCTTCAGCGTCCCCTATTGCCGGCCTGGCGGATCTGGCGTGCGGGTGAGGTTTCGGGGGAAACCCTTGGCTGGCGCGGCAGCTTCCCCAAAGTCGACGCCTTTGGCGCCGATCCCCTTCCTGAAGGCTTTGGGGTGGATCCTCTCCCTTCCGCCTCCTCCTCGAGCTATGGCGAAAGCTTTTGTTCCCCTGGTCTGGGCGTCGACGGCACCCTGGTGTCGTGCTCCTTTTTGAAGGCGGCGGCTGGGAATAGCTCTTGGTGGCGGGGCTGCTGGTGGCGTGGTGGCTTCGGCCTTCTACTTGGTGCTGCGCCTTGCTTCGCAGGACCAGCGGACGATTTTTTTGGTGGAGCGGTGCTGCATCCATCCATTGATGGCGACGGATCTTGACGGCGTGGCGCAGTGCAGATTCGGAGTTTGATGTGTGGTGACGGTCACGCGCAGGAGGTCGACGCTGTCTGGCGTCGTGGTGGCGTCAGCGGCAGCGAGACCGGACAAGGCCGTTACAACAGTACAGTTCTGAAGATGGATATGTGGTAGGTGGTTGTGGCGGCCTCATACCCGGCGGGCGGCCTAGTTGAGGAGCACGCCGGACTGGTGGGTGTCCATACCCGACAGGCGTCCAGGTTGGGACCTCAGGTCTTAGATGTTAGGTTTGGCTGCGAGGTCTGTTTGGTATTAGGCCCAGACCATCAGCGCTCCTTCATCAGTTAGATAGGAGTAGCGACAGAGGCTGCGAAGATGGTGGCTTTGGTCTTACTGTTGTACGACTTTGTAAGGTTTTGTGCTAATAATTAATAAAGTGGCCGTATGCATCGACCAGATGCAGAGGCCGGGGGTATTCCTCCTTTTCGAAAAAAAAAGAAGAGATAGGGTGAGGAGTGTAAAAACCCATGCGGCCACCTTGCCAGATTGTTCTAAAGGTATTCTTTTTTACCACCTTGCCAGATTGTTCTAAAGGTTTCCTTTTTTAATTGCTCAACAATGAGTTTGTGAGAAATAAAGATGAACAAGGGAAGGCTTTATCTGTAAATGTGAAGAGAGGTGCAGGTATCTTTTTGTAAAATTGCCATAGTTTGCTTTCTATCCGTCAGATATAAATCAAACGGTCTATCTTGCAAGATGGCAGGCACACTATCATCACCAACTCGGTTTTTTATAAAAGTAAAGATAAAGATAGAGATCATGACAATAGTGAAGAATCTACAACTAACCGTGATATTTTTGTAAGAAGATTGGGTTGCATGCCACCGCCAGCATTTCTTGTTTCCGCAGTTTCGTAAATCCATGTAGATCAAAACTGAATGTCCACAGAAACTGGTTCTGCTGCATGCCTGAAACCATCATTGACAACCCCCGCTTGACTTGGTGCAGGAGCCCGTATATTCCCTGGGCGAACTCCAATCCATGCTTGACGGGATGATGCAGGATTTCACCTCCCCCCAGCCGCCGCCACCAAGCAGCTTCTTCAGCAGCACCAGTTCGTCGACGCGGTTCGGCGCACCCAGCGGCGGAGCGCAGCAGCAGCGTCGACCCCCCTCACGCGTACGGCCTCAGGGGTTCGGCAGCTCGGCATGCTTCAGCCAGACGGCTTTCTCCGGCTGCTAAGCACCTGCGCGATCTGCATCGCAGTTCATGCGTCCGTGGGGATCACCGGCGTGAAGACGCTGAGTTGCAGAGACTGGGAGAGACAGGGAACGTCGAGCGCTCTAGCGATGCACACGGCGGGAGCCGGTACTGTACATCACCCACTGGATGAGCGGAATAAAGAAGACGGTAGATATTTCTAGTTGACAGCAACTCGAAAGGATTTCCATTGTTAGTTTTTCTTAGATAGATCGTAGGTGTACATAGATGAGAACAGAAGTGAAGACATGATGTTTTGCACTGTGGTGTGTATTTACTTCAAAAGCAACCACGATGACACGTGTGGGAGTTGTCAGAAACAAAAAATCAGTAAAGAGTACGTGTTTTTCATCTAGAACCTGCTTGTCCCCCCACTTGTTCTCTGGTTCCGTCGAGCCGAATGATGCGTGAACGTAACCAACAACAGTGGCAACTTACAACGAGGACCGAATAGGAATAGATTACCTTTTTCCATAAGAAAGAAATGACACTAATATTTGGTTCGGTTGGGTGCCTAGCTTTGCAGAAACAGAGCGTGTATCACACATAAACCCTAGAAATTATCTGTAGTTGCACCAGCATACCAATACCAATTTAGGATATGCACCAGCAACTAAGGCTTGGTTATCCATTTCATATATAAGGCGATGTTGGATTCACGGCCTACTGAGACTAGTTGAGATCTGCCTGTTAGCAATCAACCCAAATGCTGCCCCTCCAGATGATGATGGTCCTGGTGTCCATGTCTTTGGTTGTGTCCCCTTCAATGGGCATACCAACGGACGACAAGTGCAAGTGCCTCATGTGCGTCTGCGACCTGGATCCGCACCCGCTGCCGCCGGCAATGCCGTCGCGCCACCCAGCGCCTTACCTGCCACCGTCGGAGCCAGAGCCAGAGCCAGAGCCAAAGCCTGAGCCACAGCCGGAACCAGAGCCGGAGCCAAAGCCTGAGCCTGAGCCACAGCCGGAGCCGGAGCCCGAGCCGAAGCCAAAGCCACAGCACTGCCCGCCTCCGCCGGAGCCTGTGCCGACGCCAGTGTACTACTACTACCCACCGCCGTCGGAGCCGGAACCAACGCCCGTGTACTACCTTCCACCGCCGGCTGAGCCGTACGTGTACCCGTACGTGCAGCCGGCGCCGGTGTTTGGCATAGTGGGGACGCCTGGGCAGATGTACCCGCGTGACAGCATGTTCAACCCGTCCAGCGCCCACCGGAAGCTCTGTCGTGGGATATCCTCCGTAGTTCTCGCCTCCTCGATCGTGGCAGCAGGGCTACTGTCATTGCTCATATAATGTACCTAGAATACATTCAGTCCACAGACTGAACCTGATCAGCAACCAATTGGCATGTAATGCTTCATTCCGCTGACGATGCTACTTCTGTTTTTCTTCCCCTTCATTTCAAATGTGTAACTCTGAAAGAAAAATGCGAATGATGTGTGACTTTGTATTTGTTCGTGCGTGTGCTGCAACTGCGCATATTTGTATAGTGAAAACAAATTCCAGTGAGTTCTCCGTCTCTCTCAGCGAGTGCAAGAGAATGGCATGCAGATTCACAGAAAGTAATAAATCGCAAGAGAAACTAAACTGCATTGTATAAATCTGTACCATGTTTGAAATGATACGATTATGTCACCGGATAACAGTTACTACTTGCGTTGTCAGGTCATCAAAACGCGCACGGAACAAACTGCACTGGTCAGGAAGAGTTCCCAGGTATACCAATATCATGCCCTGCATCACGTGGCACCTCACCGTATGCAACAAGAGGTCCAATCAAGAATGGCGCAGCATCGCGCACAAGTATTGTATCAAGAGCGAGGGCAAAGACCTTTCAAGAGCGAGGTCGAACATCCATCAGAACTGCAGCGTGATCAAGACTGCTGCTCCCAAGACCAAGGCCACAAGGAAGACCCGGCAGGCACACAAGGCATCGGATCCCGACCGATCATCCGACACAGGCGTCGTCGAGGTCGAATGCTCCTCCATCTTCGGAGTCGGGGACGCTGGTTCTGTAACGGCAGCTGCAAGGGCATACACAGCAGTTTAACTAGTGCACACCAAGTAAGACCGACGATTCAAGAAAGATATTCAGGACTTGCGGTGTTCAGTCGACCAAAATGGAATGCTCAGGTGAACAAAATAGAAGGTGCAGCTGCAACCTAAAAGAGCAGTGCACGCAAAGCAGATAGTATCACAAAGACAGACTCGGTCCTGCAATTAGTAGGAACAGAACAGAGGCTGCAGAGAGTATCCGATGCAAAATTAGTTGTTCTACTATCATTTGAACCTGTACAGTTGTGGCATAGAACACGAAATGGATGGAGCACCACAAGATAAAACAAGTTCAAGTTTCATTTGGTAGGAGAGGACATATGACATGTCTGCCCAAATGCCAATTGGTTCATTCAACCGAAATCCGAAATAGCATTACTGGGCACAGATTTATGGAATCATTTTTTTTAACAAGCTATGGAATCATTAGACAAGCAGCAGAACATTTACCTGGAGAAAGTTTTGGTGCGGGAGGTGGCGATGGAGGTGTAAAATGCATCTCAGGCAGTGACTTGAGCTCTGTTTCAATTGGCAAATGGCAAATGGAGTTAGCCAGTACTACTAATACTTGCCCCCTTAATTGAATTTAATAATTGACTTTTGTGAACTCTTTGAGAGAAACCACCAAGTAACGAAGCCCTTAGCTATTTATAAATATCGCCAATATTTTGTGAAATTACTACTACTATCAAACAAGCAACCCAACAAACTGCTTAAATCAACGGTAATCATGACAAATCGCAGCAAAAACGCAGAAGTAAGTCTGGGCCACTCAGTATCTTCTCCTTAATAACAAAAGAAAAATCCCGCGGTGTTTCTCCCCCATTCCACTAGTTCAGTAATGCAAGTGCTAATATCCCTAGTAGCATTCAGAGCTCGTCAGTAATCCGCATTACAACCAACCATTACGAAAGTAGTTGTACAAGGATCATGAGAACAACAGTAGTTAGGACTTTGCAGAGTAAAATTTGCTTCGATCGGCGATCAACAACAGGAACGCGACAGCACGCGCATATGGCGCACGAGAATTGATCGAAGCATACATATTGCACGAGCATAAATAGGGAGCACGAAGGGACAGATTTCTCACCTCGGCACTTGTCGGCGAAGAGGGCCTCGGCCTCGGCGGCCGTGGCGGCGGAGGTTTTCGCGGAGGCGCAGGTGGGGAGGAGAGTGCCGAGGCGCGCGGCGTCGACGGGGAAGCCGAGGAGGAGCGGGTTGCGGAGCAGGTGGCAGAAGCATCCCTCCCCTCCGCCGCCTTCGCCGTCCCCGGAGGAAACGGCGCGCAGGAACGCCGCGCAGCAGGCGCTGGTGGGCGCGGGCGAGGGCAGGGCGGGCGGCGCCACCACCGCGACGTGCGCCAGGCACGGCGAGAAGGACACGATGGCTGCCGCGCACGGCGTCGCTGGTGGCTCCTGGGACAACGCGGCGGAGGCGGCGGGGGCGTGGAGGGCAGCGACGGCGAGGACGACGATGAGGAGGGCGGTGGGGGCCATGTCTCAGGCTCTCAGCACACCCGTCCCCACTCTCTCTCTCGTATCGGGGCGGGATGGGTGGTGAGGTGATGATGCCTGGTGGTTTTAGGGTGTGAGTGTGTAATGCTGAGGGGTTTGCAAAAGCGATCATGCCCGTCCGTTAACAAAGGCGGCGCAAAGTTGGGCACATCCGACGGCTCGTGATGATCCAGTGCCTGTCGCTAGCTGTCATCAACACTCGGTTTTTCTGCGGGCATTCGTCCGTTATCTTTTTTTCGAAGGAAAGGGGTTCCATTAACTTTTTTGCGGGATAAGAAGTTTCATTATAACTTAACCTAAATTAACACGATCCAGTTTACTACCGTCTGAGCCAGATCACTGTGGTCTTAATAATCAACAGGACACGATCGATCCTGGTACGGCCTAATGACAACCCAGGAATAAAACGAAGGGCGTGCACACTATTTTTTTCTGTACCTAATCCAAGTGTGTCAAACAAAACATGGCAAAAAGAATAACAAGGATAGTTCAATTCAAATCTCCAACAATACGAATAGTCTTACATGAAAGAAGCACAAGTAGAAAATCATAACAGTAGGTAACTCTACGTTTTGCATTGCCATGAAAGCATCAACTATGTCATCTTCACATGCTTTCATGAACACATCCCGCTCAATAAATATCACCAAGCAATCATTCAAGCGGTCATCACTCATACTAGTCCTTAACTTACTTTTCGCTATATTCATGATCCAAAATACTCTTTCAACACTCGCAGTCACCATCGGTAAAATCAATATCAATTTGATGAGTAAGTAGACCAAATCATAAAGAACATGTTTCATTGTTGCAACAAGCATAATAGAGAGCTCACCAATATTACTTGCATTTCTAAACCTATCGTATTGTCTCGTATCATCAACAAAATTAGCAAGTTGAAATTATAGCCTTATCAAATATGTACTTGATATGTCCATGGGATAGAATTCGACAAGTCTCATTACCTTGATTGCATCGTCAGAAGCAAATGAATTGAGGGGATTCAAAGCCAACATGCAAATAAGTAACTCCATGTAAACCTCATCAAACCGATTGTCAAGCTCTTGAATGGTTTAATCAATGACACCAAGATACATTTCTCTTCTATAATGATCATCATTTGTTTGTACTTCATAATACCGACGTGATCTTCCATGAGGCTTATAAGTATCCTACCACAAATGAACTTCAGTGTCATTTTTGTTGCCAAATAAGGTCATCTTTGCAAGAAATTCTTCCCAACCATGAGACCTCATGTGTTGCATTCTACTATTTGCCAAACTAACAAGTGTCATTGCATTAACAATATCTTGATCTCTCTTTTGCAAAGATTTGGACAACTCATTTGTATAGCCACGAATAACTAGCATCAAACGAAGATTGAAAACAAAAGCATGAGTAACTCAACATATTCTTGTCCACTCGCCTTTTTGTGAAGGATCTTTTCCAATAGCATCAAGTACTTCAAGGATTGTGGATACATGCTAACAATGTGCATAATGGTCTTAAAATGAGAACCCCAACTAGTATCGCCGGGTCTAGCTAGTCCCATCTCTTGATTTAGCCCACTTCCACTTTCAATCTCACCCATTTCAAGTGCTTCCAAAACCTTTTGAGCTCTAACATCTCAAAGCATGTCATGTCACTTGCAAGAAACTCCAAGAATATTAAGCAATTAAGAAACATGATCAAAGAACCACGAACATGGTTCATTTTCTTTTGCCACGGCTGTAAGAACCAATTGAAGTTGATGTGCAAAACAGTGGATGTAATAGGCAGAGGGGGACTCTTTCATGATCAATGTTTTCAACCCTTTAATCCCCCCTTTCATGTTGCTACCTTGGGGTCTACGGTTCAGAACAATAAAAAGTGCACATAACTACCATATAGGATTAGGAACTCAGATATATTGATAAAAACATAAAGGGTTTAGATCTGAAATCATGACACTCGAGCCCTAGTGACAAGCATTAAGCATAGCAAAGTCATAGCAACATGAATCTCAGAACATAGTGGATACTAAGGATCCAATCCTAACAAATTGACTCGATTACATGATAAATCTCATCCAGCTCCATCTCCGTCCAGCAAGCCTACAAATGAATTACTCACTCCATGTTGTGAGCATCATGAAATTGGCGATGAAGAAGGGTCAATGGTGGCGACGACGACGAATCCCCCTCTACGGAGCCCTGAACTGACTCCAGATCAGTCCTCCCGATGAAGAACAGGAGGTGGCGGCGACTTCGTATTGTAAAAACGTGATAAAACTTCTTCTATTATTTTTTCTCAAGAAGACGGGTACTTATGAAGGTGGAATTAGGTCAGACGGAGCCACGTGGGCCCAGGGGGCGTGCCTTGTTGCCTTGTGAGCAGCTGGTGGCTCCCCTCCAGTGGATATTTACGCCAATATTTTTATTTAATCTATAAAAAATCTTCGCTAAGTTTCGTCCAATTCTGAGAACTTTTATTTCTGCACAAAAACAACACAATGATAGCTCTACTAAAAACAGCGTCGGTTCGGGTTGGTTTCATTCAAATCATGGAAATTAGAATCCAAAATAAGAGAAAAAACATATTTGGATAAGTAGATACGTTGGAGACGTGTCAATGACCAACAACATGAAAGGAGCATGACTACTTGCTCTTCCACATTGGTGTGGATGCTATCTTCTAGCACCCCCCTGCTCCTGAAGGTCTCCACAAGCCTAACAAACTATTTTCATTCGAAGCATTGATACGTCCATTTTGCATCATGTTTACCTATTGTCATTTATAATGTTTTTATGCATAATAGTGCTTTTTGGAGTAATTCTAATGCCTTTCCTCTCATAATATGCAAGGTTCACACAAAGAGGGAGAACTCCGGCAGCTGGAAATCTGGACCTGAAAAAGCTACGTTAGGCTACCTATTCTGCACAACTCCAAATGAGCTGAAACTTCACGAGGAATTTTTATGGAATAAATAATAAATAGCGGAGCAAATAACTACCGGAGGGGGGCCACCTGGTGAGCACAAGACACCAGGGTGCGCCAGGCCCCCCAAACGTGCTCTGGTGGGTTGTGCTCAGCCCAGCCCACCTCTGGTGCCCATCTTCTGGCATATAAGTCAATTTGACCTAGAAAAAATAAAGAGTGGGCTTTCGGGATGAAGCACCGCCGTCTCGAGGCGGAACTTGGGCAGGAGGACTTTTGCCTTCCGGCAGAGCGATTCCGCCGGGAACTTCCCTCCGGGAGGGGGAAATCATCGTCAACATCATCACCAACAACTCTCCCATCTTGGGGAGGGCAATCTCCATCAACATCTTCAACAACACCATCTCCTCTCAAACCTTAGTTCATCTCTTGTGTTCAATCTTTGTACCGGAACTATAGATTGGTACTTGTGGGTTACTAGTAGTGTTGATTACATCTTGTAGTTGATTACAATATGGTTTATTTGGTGGAAGATTATATGTTCAGATCCATTATGCTATTTAATACCCCTCTGATCTTGAGCATGAGAGCAGTTACTTTTGTTCATGAGGTCATGGGAGAAATCTTGTTACAAGTAATCATGTGAACTTGATATGTGTTCGATATTTTGATAGTATGTATATTGTGATTCCCTTAGTGGTGTCATGTGAACGTCGACTACATGTCACTTCACCATATTTGGGCCTAAGGGGATGCATTGTGGAGTAGTTATTAGATGATGTATTGCGAGAGTGACAGAAGCTTAAACCCTAGTTTATGCGCTATTCTGTAAGGGACCGGTCGGATCAAAAAGTTTAATGCTATGGTTAGAATTTATTCTTAATACTTTTCTCGTAGTTGCGGATGCTTGTGAGGGGGTTAATAATAAGTAGGAGGTTTGTTCAAGTAAGAACAAAACCTAAGCACCAGTCCACCCACATCTCAAATTATCAAAGTAGCGAACACAAATCGAACCAACATGATCAAAGTGACTAGATGAAATTCCCGTGTACCCTCAAGAACGCTTTGTTTATCATAAGAGACCATTTGGCCTGTCCTTTGCCTCAAAAGGATTGGGCTACCTTGCTTCACTTTTGTTACCACTATCGTTACTTGCTCGTTACAAATTATCTTGCTATCAAACTACTTGTTACTCATAATTTCAGTGCTTGCAGACATTACCTTGCTAAAAACCACTTGTCATTTCCTTCTGCTCCTCGTTGGGTTCGACAGTCTTACTTATCGAAAGGACTACGATTGATCCCCTATACTTGTGGGTCATCAAGGCTATTTTCTGGTGCTGTTGCCGGGGAGTGAAGCGCTCTTGGTAAGTGGAAATTGGTAAGGAAAAATTATTACTACGTGCTGAAATTTATTGTTACTATGGAGAACAATCCTTTGAGGGGTTTGTTCGGGGTATCTTCACCTCGACCGGAACCACAATTAGTTACTCCTCAACCTACTTGTATTTTTTTCCAAGTTTATTTTTCTTTTGGATATTTTGGATTTGCACCCATTGAAGAGTTTTTTCTACTCAAATGTGTTTGTGCAAGTCAGACTATGTAGCCTTGATCATGTGACTCGTAATTGAGCATATTGGGTTAATAACCCGCCCTAATAGCGGACTCTAAGTCACCAGGATATTTTGCCTTGAGCAATCAAAATCATGATATTTCATGCCTACGGGTCAATACCCGTTTCGGATTATAATTATCAAGTATACTTTGGATTGTGCAATTGGAATCATGCGCTTATAAATCTTTGGGTTGTCACCCTCACTGGATATGGCGATGTAAGTCAGCAATATGAGCCAATTTTACAGGTATGTTTTTAATTGTTATAAGAATATGCGAGGTTAGATAACCCGCCCTGGCTTTTAACTTTAAGTTGCCAGTATATTTTGGCTTCGATGGCCTTAATTCTAGTCTTTTCCATAATTGCATAAGACTATATTATGTTTGGGTTGTTACCCGCCCTAGCTTTTGACGTTAAGTCGCCAGGGCACATGTTGTTTAAACTTTGTGCAG